AAATGAGGTCATCTGGAGTGTTGTAATCAGGAATCATGTTCTGCGCTTGGCACCCAACAATAATCCTTCAAAACTGTTTAATACGTCAAAGCATGCCTTCAGCGTCTGTTAGCATGCAGGCCACCTAATAGCTACTGGTTGGGAAACACTAAACTTAGGCTTGTTTACTGCCATAAGTTTTAATGTATAAATACACATTTTTTTACTAAAAATAATAGCATAGTAGTTTTCAAATTCTTGCAGTTACGGTAGGTCCATGCATGAAATAGAGTAAAACAAGGGGAAATAATGAATCGACTTGAATAATTTACTTTGATTTGAATAATGTTGTTCTTTCAGATTATCAAGATTCTTAACCACTATACCCCCGTCAATGAGTTTGAAACTCGTGTTGAAGCGTCGTTTGTTAGGAAAGTCCACGACAAACTGAGAAAGTCTCGCGGAGATACAGAAACGCAGAAGCTTTTAATGGATACGAAGCATGCGTTTCCAGTTACATTTCCGTATAACCCATCGACTGTGGAACTGGATACGATCACCATTCCAGAGAGCTGGAATTTAAACTTCTTAGAAAGAATGTAAAGTGCCTGGAATACTAGAGGCCTTGGAAGAGATTTCCTGTGACTGACTCTGTGATTGAGAATAAATTGAGGCTTGAAATTGCACCCTGTCAGAAATATCTCATTGTGCAATACCTCCTAGGACAGTATTTTTAATATAAAACCACTTAGGTCAGGTGAATATTACAAAGCCTCTCAGATCAATGAAAATTATCTTCCTCCTCAGTGTCTTCCAGTTGTGAAAGTTTTGTCCCTAATTTCGGAAATTGTAACCTATAATAATTCAGTATTAGTATTTCATGCGCCAGTAAAAAGTGAATTAATAGGAAACTGAATTAGTGATTTGTAATTGTTGGTTGAATTAGGGAGTCATGGACCCCCTAACAAAACTGCTTTTGTCACTTTTCACAAAATAAACCATTTTTTCCATATTTTACCATCAATGTTGTCATGACATATAGAGCCAATAGCAAATTATGTTCAATTCATCCAAAATTAACAAGAAAAATAAATTGTAAAAAAGTAATTAAACTGTACCAAAAAAATGTACCAACATTTTTACAGTTTGAATGCCATTCAAAGCTTTGTTTGGTAGCTGCCTCTGAAATGACAAAAAAAACAAACTAAGTAGATCCAAGCTTGATACAATAACTGGCGTATCATGGCATCTATTCTCAGAGTTTTTGCTCTATATTACGAAATCAATACCCAGTAATAGACTTGTATGATGGTGATGACTCGATCAAAGCGTCTTTTTGCTTGAAAACATTTTTTTTTAACAGCTGTGCATATTTTCATAAATTTACTAAAATATTTTATCAAGAGATAGTTATTAAAAATTCTTGTGCATTAATTGTAACAAGATGTATTATAAATTTACTTGAATTATTTATTAGTATTCTCTATATTATGTATGTATGGATTATACGAGGTCATTGCGGTCTTCATATCGGTTGATAAATCATTAAATTAAATAATATTTAATTAACTGGCACATCATGATTGCTCTATTAGAAGGGTATCTTCTGTTGAAGCTCATGTAATTCAAATGTATTAATATTATCCTGTATTATTAAAATGATTTATTTTGATTAGTCAAATCTCATGTGCTACTTGTAAAATCTGTATTAGAAGCGTGACTTCTATTAAAATGGTAGAATGCAACAGAGGGGATGCGCCTTCTATTAGAGCATCTACACATATGAGAAATGATGAATTTTTGGTTCTCAATTGTACAAAAAGATTGGGTGCGACTTCTATTAGGGATGCGGCTTCTGATACAGATTTTACGGTACTACTGTAAGTGCATGTACTACTAATAGAGCAAGTACAGTTTGGGATTGTTATCTTTCTCATTTCCTACCATATTTGTTTAAGAACAATTAATTTGTTGGTAGGTTTGAATAACCCATCGTAACGCATATAATGCAGCACTCAATTTCAACAGGAATGATTTTGTATGAAAGAGAATGAATTTATTCATTTTATTTCTGTGTTTCATTTTAATTTAAACACTTAAAATGTCTATGACTGCTATGGTAACTTTTAAGTAAGTTGTAGATCTGCTTTGTTTATAATTATATTACTAGTAGATGTTGGTTGCGACGAGTAAACGTTGGTTGCGACTAGTAGACGTTGGTTGCGACTAGTAGACGTTGATTGCGACTAGTAGACATTGGTCATATATCCAACAGTATCACATTCTACCTATTTGGTAATAATGTCACAAAAAGGGTTACATTACGATGTCAATATTGTACCAAAATTTTCTGTAAATTCAACAATTGTTCTTTATGTTTATTATGTTTTATATTTGTTTACAATGAAAAGCTTTATATTCCAGAGTTAATGTATATATATAATATGAACTTTGTTGTCAGTAAGACTACGTTAATGTAGTCGGTTTTCAAATTGCGTTGCAGTTTTTGTGACTTATCTTATGCAATGAATTATCATATTTTTTTTTTTTTTGATATTTTGAAGTGGCGCCAAATTGATTGATTGTATTTGCTCTGCTTCGGTGCCGGCTGAAAAGTGTGCGAATACTTTCGTAAAAAAGGTTACGAAATCTAAAAATGAATAATTGACCTCAATTTGTATTGTTTAGTGTTGTGGTTACACAAATTATGGGAAATGTTCTCGTTAGACGCTTGTAATCATGTTATACCCGGTACTGTGTGTATGACATATGATTGCCAAATGTTAATGGCGCTAACAGATTGTTGTGAACCACTTTAATCAAGGATCGAGAATTGCAAAATATTATAGAAGTTATAATTTCGCTTGAATGCTGCAGTTATCAGCTTTTCAAGGTCTTCTTGCACTGACTGATATTGTGTGTATAGGTACTTGTGTTAGCATATTCTGAGAACAGTTGAAGTTTTCGTTAGTTGGCGATTGTTAATCCATGTCATTACATCCACAGAGTAATTTTCGTCACTACGAAATGTTCACACTTTTTCCCCCCGACTCGTGAAAATGTGTTGTCTCGTGAAAATGGTTTACTCTTATCTGTTTTTGACACATGCTCAATACAATGAAGCAGGTTTAGTCCCCACCTCCCAAGTACTGTAAACAGCCCCACAGAATAGTCGGGCAACATATTTCAATGTTAATTCATACTAATTATAATTAGTATCTTATGTATATTTGTTTATATGGTGTATATTTTGCTCCGTATGAAATTTGTGGTGCTTTGAGGTATGCCGTGACTAGCGCCTTTTAGAGCTAGTTTAGAACAATGGGATTATCTTTATTAATAAAATAGTGGTGTCCTGTAATATTTTTATTGATAGAATAAATCATGCCATGTTATCATAATCTGTTATGACAGTTTTTTTAGTTTTTTTTTTAAATATTTTAGCTTGTATACTGATTGACTATGATAGAAGCGTTCCCACTTTTGAAGTGTCTTCATATATTCGCACTACAACATGTGTAGTAAGGAGGGTCCCATATTCCAACAATGAGGCTTGCTTGCTAGAAATTTACAATGCAGGCACTTGCAAGCAGTGCGTCCTCTAACAGGATTGATTTTGTGGAAATCCCGAGTCAAAATGGAATCTGCACGAAATCAAGTTGAGTCTTCTTGTTGACTGCTGTCGAGATCAGTCTTCACAACAGAAATACTGTGCACCCAATTTCCTAAATCCTAAGTAGTTTTTTCCCATGATTTTCACCCAAAATTACCTCTCCCAACACTCCCAATAAATTTATTGCGAAATTTCCATACAAGATGAAAATGAGTTAAATTGTCGAAGTTCCTTTGAAGACAGTGAAGTTGATAAAAAAGAAAGCGGAGGGAAATAACTGCGAAGATTTAAAAGAATGATTGGGAATTCACAAATGTTTAGAAAGTCGGAAAGTTTACTGAAAAGTTTTTTTTTTTTTCTTTTTTCTTTCTTTAGTAGGATCTTTATTAACTTATACATGGCCATCGGTCCAAAACAGTAAATACAAAATATTTAAATTATTTACAATATTTCAGCAGCTTCCCTCCTAAGTGTCATAGCATTAAATACAAACGCAGCTAAGCGCTGTAGAAGTACATCATTTTGAGTAATTCGATAAATTTATTTACAGTTCGTGGGGTGCAGTAGTAGTGTGGGATATAGAGACATCTAATGTGGTTATAAAAATTACAAACTAATAAAAAATGGAACTCGTTTTCAATAGAATTCGTATTTCCCGTATTGCAAAGCTCGCACGTACGTTGATCTCTTTCAAGATGACCTCTGTCTTTTTCAATTC